TTTTGACCATAACTTCACGCTGAGCAGAGAACTACAGCGGTGATGTCTACAGTGACACCCAGGTCCTTTCCCTAAATCAACCCCGTCAACTCAGTGCCCTGCAAGACATCTGGGTAGCTTGAACGTTTCCCTTTGTTGTGCATTATTTTGCATTTATCAACTCCGAACATCGCTTGCCCTTGTGGTGCCAGCTCGTTCAGCTCAGTTAGGCTTCTCTGCAGGTTCTTTATGCTCCTCACTGGGTTTGCTTCATCTGAGCCAGCATTCCTCAACCTGTGGGTTGTGACCCAAAAGTGGGTCGCAAGAAGATATCCAAAGGGTTGCGAACAGACTTTTGAAAAGTGGATTGCTCTTCAAAGGAGAAAAACGGGGGAAACCGTGGCTTTTCCCTTGCAGGCTTGCCAAGGTCCAGCCTGCAAGGGGCTGCTTGGGGGCCCCCCTGTGCCCCACCACTCCTCACCCAAGGGGGCTGGGGCTTGGGGGTGGAGGGCACTGGTCGGGACTGCCCACTGATGTTTACAAATGGGTCCTGGTACAAAAAAGATTGAGACCCACTGGTCGAAACAACTCTGTGCCCTCAGCAAACTTTGCTGCATTTCTGCTCATCCCTTTTTTCCAGATCATTGTGTTAGGGTTAACTGCTCAGGGCAAGAGGTTACCATGGGGAGCTCGAGACTATTGTATAATCCTGAGCCCCCCATGGTAACCTCTTGCCCTGAGCAGTTAACCCTAATGGCTCTCTTCCTTCCTGAGCATGTTTTGCCTCTCGTCTTATCACTACATTTCCTTAACGGCTTTGTGAGGGCCCTTGTGTGAGCCGGTTGTGCCTCCTGCCAGTGCAGGTCACAGCCACCCATCTTTCAGGGGTCAGATGACAGGTCTTTTATTCGGAGCGCTCCTTTGACGCAACACCACTCTGCCCGCTACATTTAGTGGAGGAGATTGAAAGAAAATAACCTTGTCCTTTCAGTTCTTCAGCTTCTTTCAGGAGCAACAATCTCTTTCATCTTCCCCTTCTTTCTCAGCCAGGGCTCCCAGCTGGGAATCCACCCAGGGGTCTGATTCCCCCCACCTGCTCCTCATCGCCAAACAGACCTTTCTGTGTCTTCAAAGGGACTCTGCCCTGTCACACCTTGTCAAAGGCCTCTCCAAAGTTCAAATACACTCTCCTCCAACTGCTCTTTTGATGCAGTAAAAGCACTCTGATAGCCTAGAGAGATGAGATTTTCCTTTGCAGTGAATGTGTTCATACCAGCTCATATTCTTCCAGCTGTTTATCACCCTATTTTTTTTTTTTATTCTAGTTTCATCTAATCTCACACTTTTCACAACTCACTCCTCTCTGATCACAGGGCATCCACCTTCTTGGCCAGTCTTCTGCCAATGGTCCTGTGCCCCATCGGAGATCATCTCCCCCTTCCCCAGCAGTGCGATGCCCATCACACTGGCTTAGTTATTTTAAAAAGCCAGCAGATGGAAAAGTGGAGCCGCTTCAATGGGCCGATTACATGGCTGCAGTGGAATGCTATTAACAATATTGATAATATTACAATCCCGGAAAGGCTGTTGGTTCCCTTCCAGCCAACACGGATGAGCACTGTCCTCACCACGTAGCCTTGCTACCTCTTTGCTTCTACACTTGCTCATCTATCCATATCCGTACGTTATCTATCCCTGTACATGACATCTTTCTATCTGCCCAACTGCCCACTGCTCCAAGTATCTATTTATCACCCTACTTATCTGTCTATGTTCAGACTCATGCATTGGCCATGCCTTTTGTGTGCCCGTCCCCATGGTATCTAGGCCAGTGGTTTGCAACCTGTGGTCCATGGACCCCTGGGGGGTCTGCAGACCATGTCTAAGGGATCCACGAAAGATGACTATGATCAATCAAAAGTATGTGATTACCCACACTATCCACACCTCCATTCAAAATTTCCAGAGGAGGTCTGCAAACGAAAAAAGGTTGAAAATCACTGATCTAGGTTGTTACTTATGGAAGTTGCATCTCCTTCTCAGTGCAGAATTTACTGCCAATGCCATTAGATAGCTCCTGGTCAGCGAGGCTTAGCCTGGAGTCATGTGCTTCATTTTCCCCTGTATCTAGGCAGGGAAGGGAAAGTGCTAAGTCAACAGCTTCAGTGGCTGTAGTAGGCTGTAGGCATCTATCATTGGCTCTGACAGACACTGCTAGAGGGAAGAGCTGGTTTACAGGTAAAATCCTAGAGGGCGGCTGGGTGGCTCAGGGAGCTGGCAGTGGGGTGCAGCAGCAGGGAGGTCTGCACCGATAGTGCAAATCCAGCTCTGCTAAGTAGAAATGGAAAGTTGGGTGATGGATGGTCAGGCTGGTGGGTCTCAGTGCTGAGAAGGGACATGTTTCACTGCCAAACCCACCACTGCACTAGACACTCGAAAGAGCATAAGAACTGCCATTTACTTGCCCAGACCATAGCTCTGTTTTGCCCAGGCTTCTCTCGCAGGGAGCGTGAACTGGGACAGACCAGGGTTTTTTCCCTTGTTCTCACTTGCAGCCTCCAGCATTTTAGGTCTAGGAAGTGCTGATTCAAACTCTGACTCCTTCCTCCCTTTGTTGCAGTCTCAGCCGAAAGGAGACTGAGCTCACTTCCTAGCCAAAGGTTCAAACACGCGGGCAGAGTGGTGTGTTGGGAGCTTGTTGTGTTGTGTGTGTGATGGACGGGGGAAGCCGGTCTGCAGGCTATTGATGAGAATCAGATCGATCACTTAACAATGACCGGACCTGTATTATTGTTACGATGGAGTGACAAAAGCAGGCCTAGTAGCAGTGACTTGGGACACGTGCAGTGCCTCCCATCAGATGAACCCAAAGCATCCCCCAGCCATTCTTTAGTTAATAGGTACCACCCCTCTGATAGAGTGCTATCATCACCCCCAGTGTATCAGTGGGGAAACTGAGGCACATAGCAAGTAAGTGGCTAACGGCAGCCATGGTTTAAAGGAGCCCAAATTGTCCATGACAGCCAGAAGATCTCTACTGAATCTTCCCGGCAGGAGTCTGGCAGGTGATTTCAGTGCAGGAGTTAGAAAAAGGGATACTGAGATGGGGGCTGTGCTGTAGGGGAGCTGTTGTCAGCTCTGCCTTATCGCGCTCTCCCTCCCCTCTGCCTTTGCAATAAATTCCACATTTTCTTTCTTTTGTAACTGCTTGAAACAAGCCAGCAAAGCAGCAGCCTCCCAAATAAAACCACCCTCGCTGCCGCCTTCCCTGCGGACGCCTCTGCACCGAGCAGAGGAACTGGGAGTCGTTGCTGGGTGAGAAACAGCTTTAAAAATATAACACTGGAGAGGCGTTCTCCCTCTGGCAAGCGTGGGGCTGTGGCGGAGGTGCCTGTGTCCATAGACTTCCAAGCACCAGCCAAGGGAGACAGCAGCCTAGTAGAAAGGGGAACTGAGGCACAGGGTATGTCTTGCCCCAGGTCACCCAGTGAGGGAGTGGGCAACGTGGGGAGTCCTGTGTGGCAGCCCTGCATCTGAACTGCTCAGACCCCTGCAGCTTGGAGCTGCTCTGTAATAACTCATCACTACTGAACGAAGGTTTATACTGTGTGGTGGCAGGCTATCGGATGTGTCCTCTAAGACTGGTTGAGTTTATAGTGAGATGGGAGGACCAAAAAGCAAGCAGGGAAAAGGAAAGCTCAGGGCAGCATACCCCTTGGCAAACACTTGAGGATTATTAGTGGGCAATGGCAGGAACATTGGCTAAGGGCACTGTAGCTTGATTGCCTGAGCCTACCAGACTGATTTTTATTATGAATGACCAAAGCAAGGGGACAAGGGGAGAGCTATAGTATGGTTTAAAATGGGCTGATGCTGACTTGCAAGAAAGGGAGGTGGAACCAGACTGAGACGCAGGACTGTATGCGAGGGGCAGGCGGGTCTCCGATGAAACGAAGCCTGCCACAATCCTCTACGTGCAATGCTAAACCTTTAGTTTAGAGGGACGTGCTTGTAGACTGTTTGGTGGTTTTCAGTTCTGTTTCTCTAAATGCTTTGCTCTTACTGGGAAAGGAAAAAGTGCTTTCTTAAAGAGGCCTCTGTAGGCCCTGCGCATATGAAGAGCTTGGGTGCTGATCTGACGCTGTTCGGACCCACAGCTTGCAGTAGCCCCGGGGCTGGGCTGAAGGATGGGAGAACTGTGACTCTCCAGCCCGGGAGGGAGACTGTCTTGAGGCTTGAGGCCTGGTTTGTTCCCTTAAAGACCAGGAAAGGGGTAAAGGTGCAGCCAGCTCTGTAGCCCTGTCTCCCACTGCTTTAATCCAGCACCAAGAGCAGAATCTGCTAACCATTGACTTGGGCCACAAGACGATGCTCCCTGCTTCAGCCACATTCAAGATCCATGTTTCCTGCTCTGACCAGTAGACAATACTGATGGCTCAAGTTGTAGCACTTTGCCCAAGTTTCCCCCTGCTACAGTCCTGTCCCCAACAACCCTCTTGCAGCTGCGGTCTCCTCTCGCTGGCTGCAAGGGACCGCTGAGAAATGCCTAGGGTGGTAAGTGCAGTTCGTGTAGGATTCCCTTGTGGATGCTGCCTATTATACCATGTCGGCAGCTTTCCGAAAGGCGTTGTGTTCATCTCAGCGCTGTGCGTGTGCGAGACTTGATCTCCAGTGTATTGGCACGTCAGTCTTTATTCGGCTGAGCAGGGCTGTCACTCAGGTTGTTATGAATCCCCTTGGGCTCTTCTTCTCCAACCCCCCAGCCAAGGAGGACTCGGATGTTTAGGAAATGAGAACACGCACAGAAACAGCCCGGGGCGAGCTGCTTGCCGTGAGGCAGGATCCCCGTCAGGTGGCACTCTTGCTCCATCGCCAGCGGGTTGTTTTCATGCCTGCCCAGAGGAGGCTGGCGCTCCTGCTGCCAGGGGATGCGAGGTCCATTTGGCAGCTGGGTGAAATATAATGAATACAAACATCACCGTGGGCCGGTGACTCATTCCTTTTTGGAAATGGCTTTGGAGAGCGCCTCGGTGCCCAGCTTCCTGGGGAGGGAGAGGTCATAAGCAAGGACTCCGCAGCATCAGCTGGCTCCCGCCCGGTCCGACAGGGATAAAAGGGTGGCATCGAAAGGGTAAGGGCGACTTAACACATGCCAGGTGAGTGGCATTGGAGGCGCAGGCTGTAGAGGGGTGCTGGGGCCAGTGGGGAAGAGGCAGTGGAGCCTGGAAGCATCCCTGTGCGGTGCGTGGGCTCGCGGTGCAAGATAAGGTTATTATGGGGGTGCTTCTGGTCCTGGGCTTTGGTCTGTGGGTCAGGCCCAACAAAGGAGCTATGCTGTCGCTGGCTCTTTATAGGCTGGTCTCTTTAGAGGAGTTTCTTGTTCCTTAACCTGGGCTCCTGTCCTTCCTTTCAGCAAGCAGAAACTGAAGCAGCAGCAGGTAGAGCTGGCCAGACTCATGGCATCTCCCAACTCAGGTAACGGAGCAGCCGTGGGGCTGAGAGGATGGCAGTAGGGTGGGGGCAAAGGGAGCTAGGGTAAGCCATGCAGTGTCCCCTGGTTCTGCCAAGCATGTGTCTGCCTTCCCCTTCCCCACCGGGAAGCCAGGGGCTCAGCCGTTGCCCGGCTGGATGCCAGTCTTGGCAAGCTGGGTGTTTAACCCAGATGGACATCTGGACCTATCCATTCTTAGGCTGTTCCCAGTGTCCCCTTTGCTGGGGTCCAGTGTCTCAGTAGGAAGTCTACCCTCAAGCAGGAAAGGCTGTATCCCTTTACCTCTCTCCTCATCAGTAAGGTCCTCTTTGCTTCGTCTGCAGCGGGCGCACAGGCTAGTTTCTGCCTCCCCCTGCCAGCTGCAGGCACTGCCATGCAACCGTTCAGCCCTGCACAGCAGCTGGCACTTCCATGAGTCTTCTCTGAGGCTCAGCCCGTGCTCCTCTCACCAGCAGGAGAAGTACTGGAGGACCTGATTTTGGGAGAGGGTCTTTTCCTGGTGTTGCAGAGGCATGACCTGGTACAATCTGGGGTGTGTGGTACCCAACCAGTATCTACTGATGTGTGTCATGCTGGGCTGGGCTGGGCTTAGCACAGCCACTCACTCTCTATCTTGTAATATTAATAGTAATAATCAATGCACAAAAGTTAGATTTCTCATGCCGCCTTCACCTCCAAGGACCCAGAGCGCATTAGCAGCTATTGCTGGAGGAGACGGCTTTCCCTCCGTGTTTGGTGCCCACGCCTTTCGGAGGTTTATGCAGATCCCTGCTGGCTTTTGGCACTGGGTTTAGCAGGAAAGATGCTGCTCATGTTCCCCCTTTCACTCATTACAGACCAAAAGGAACTCCTCCAAGCTCCAACGGGCCTTTCTTCTGCCTTCTCTCTAGGCCTGATGAGCAACTTGCAGGGCTACTCTGGAAGGGTTGTGGCCATGAGGGGGCAGAGCCTGGAGAACAATGAGGTGAGATGGCGGGGATGAGGTGGGCAGTTGTAGCATCGGGAGGGGCTTTACCTACCTGTGCATCCTCTGCTTCTCCCCCGTTGATGTGCTTTCTCGGGTAGGTTCTTAGTTTAATTCCCTCCGATAGGAAGGAGCCCCGCTGTCAGGTCTCCTGCCCCCCACCCCATCCCTACGTGGAGCCGGTGGTGCATTCAGGTGTCTTCCTGCAGTGCTGCCTATAGCACCTCCTGCCAGGGGATTCAGAGAGGCAGGCAGGTACTGCTCCTGGCTACTCCGTTCCCCAAGAGCCAGGTTTTCTGCCCTGCTCCTACACCACCACCAGCTGGGAAAGTCTGGGAGTTGGTGTAGCGGTCCCCTTGGCCTCTTCATAGAGACTATCACTGCCCCAGCTTTGCCCTCTTGCAGCCAGCCCTGCAAGCGTGGGGCCAGGGGCTGCATTCTTCATTGTCCTGGTGGGGGTTGGGGGTGTTTGCCCTGCCCCATGGTGTTAAGACCCATTTTTCTCTGCTGTCATGTCCTGTGCGCCCCCAGGTGCAAGGCCAGGTGGACGGGGCTGGCAGAAGGGAGCTGGCGGTGCAGGTCGGGGACAGTGGGGAGAGCGATGAAGGTTGGTGAGTGAGTCTCAGGCTATGGAGCTGCCATCCACGCCTCTCCCTGGCCTCCTGCCTCTTGCTCCATCTCTTCTTTCTGTTCCCTGCTCCCCTCCACCTGTCTGTCTTCTCCTCGTTTTTCTATTTTCTCCTTCCTCCCCTGCTTCACTCCTCTTTCTCCCTCCCAGCCCCCTCCCTCTCTGCAGGCAGTGGGGAAGGTATCCCCAACTTTTCAGGCTGCTGGAAGCAGCTTCTTGCATTGTGCCCTGGAACAAAGGGGCCGACTGACATCCTCTGCAGTAGAAGGGGGCTGTGACCCTGCCCTTCCAGCCAACCCAACCTGCCATCTTTAAGGCAGGGGCATCGGTTCACTTAAAGGTCCCATGGGGGAGAAGACCATACTCTCAAGCCCATCTCCTCTCACCCACCCCACTGCCTTCTCCGTGAGCAGGAGCAGGAGGGTGTTTCACGATGCCTCTTGGGGCACAGGTGCTGTAAGCCCCCAGATGGTGTTTCTGGGGAAGCCTTTGAGGCTTCTCACATGACCCAGTCCTACCCCCGAACACTAATGGTGCTTTCAACCAAGAGATAGGTCTTGGGTCTTGAGTCACTTCCTTGTGGGTTGGTCTCTTCAGCATCTCTGTTGCGTTTCTGCCTGGGGCCTGCCAGTTCACTTGTACCCCCCCTGCCCCTAAGTCAGCAACAGTGGTGTGGCAGGACCCAAGGCTGTTTCAAGAGGGCTCCCTGGTCAGGAGCCAGGCCTCTGCAGACACAGCTGGATTAGCCTAGTCTAGGCCAGGTTAGGATTGGCACAGCAGAGCATTATTCTTCTAGGTCCAGAGTGATTTCCCCTGGGGGCTCTGTGACCTGGCCTCATGATACAAGTAGATGGGCCCTTCTCCACTGGCCTGCGCCATGCACCGGTACATTGCCCCCACCCCGTCTACCTTGGGTACTTTTATGCCCGTGTCACTGAAGTATCATAGCAGCTCGCAGTGGTCAGTGTGTTTGTCCCCTGGGAGGTAGAAAGGGCATCTTACAGCTTGGGAAGTGAGGACTGAAGTGACTTGCCTGAGGTCGCACAGAAAGGGAGAGCAGAAGAAGGAACTGGACCCAGATTTCCCAGGTTCCCATGCTAGTGCCCTCACCCCTGTGGCCCTTAGTATTAGAGAGAAGACATCTGCCTCCGTGGAGGCAGCTGGGAGGTGTCTGATCCCCTCTGTCCATCTCCTCTCTTGTCTCTCTGGATGAATGATCGCCCTTTCTCCCCAGATCCTGACCCAGCTGAGGACCTGCTGGTGACCTCTGCGACAGAGCTGTCTGTGCTGGAGAGACTGGGTTTGCACAGGTAAGGTCTCCAGCCATGGCCTGACCCCCTTTCTCCTCCTACCAAAGTGCAGGGATTAGACACTGCTGCTTGATCAAGGAGCTTGGAGATTTAAACGGTTGCCAGCAAAGGTGACAGGGCTGGACTGTGCGTGGAGCCAGGGCAAGTGCCTCGGGGGAGTAGCTGAGGACGTCAGGGGTTACAGAGCCCCTCACCCTCCATCGCTGGTTCAGATCCAGCTCCGGGGCCTCATACCCCTCCTACTTATATCCTGCAGCAGAAAGAGATGGGCCCTGTCCTGGCAATGACTGAAAGATGCCCCCCTTTCGGGGCTGCCTGGGGACTGGGAGAGATGAGTTTGGCTCTCTCTGGTTCCCAGTGGATGGGTGTTGTTGCCTCTCACAGCTCCCCCCACCATTGGCACTGACTGCTAGAGATCCCTGGAGAGCCCTAGGTGCCATCGCTGAGGCCTTGGGAATTGGCTGCGGTCGGGCACTTGGTTCTGCCCCGTGCTCTGCATTCCCTGCCCTGAGTTGCCTCCCTTGCTTACAGCTGTCCGTGTTCTTCCTTTGCAGAGTGGCTTTGACTGAGCAGGACGTGGAGGTGAGCACTGCCCTCATCCTATCCTTCCAGCAGCTTGTAGTGAGAGGGACTCATGGATGCACCCATGGATTCGTGTCTCCTTCCTCCTTCCCCTGCAAAAATCCATGCACAGGCTTCAGACACCAGTGCTGCAAGATGTACTTGGTGCCCAAGGCAAAATGCATCTGGTCGCTCCCCCCTCTGTAGCGTGGTGTTCAGATCTGTGGATGGTGATACTGGAGTCCTGCAGCAGATGGGCTAACCCAGAGTCCTCTTGTGACACCTCCAGCTGGGTCAGCACCAGCTCAGATGCTGTCTGTGTGCCACCTGGTACAGTTATCCAGGGTTTAGGCACAGAGGGACAGGGGCTTTCTCCTCTAGGTGGTCACTTCCCACAGTTAGTTGTTACCCTCTGAAAGTGGCTTGAGTTCCTTCCTGACAGGAGTTTCTGTTCTGCAGCACAGGGTCCCAGGGACAGGTGTCTGGGTCCCCAAACTGCAGCCACAGCCTACACAACAAAGGACTGAATGGGTCACATGTGACCAGTGGGGAAACTGAGGCACGGAGTGGTGAAGTAACTTGCCCGCTGTCCTCCTGTGAATCAGTGGCAGAGCAGGAATAGGAGCCAGAAGTCCAAACTCCTGGCCTTGTGCTTTCAGCAAGAACCGTCCACCCCCCTTTCACGACCCCCTGCTGACTCCCCTCCGCCCGGCAGTTTCTGTTGCATGCGCACAACCCTCGCGTCCCCACCTAGAAACCAGGGGCATCCCCTGCACAGCGAAGTGATGCCTCTGGGCGTGTGATGCAGCGCTTGTTCATTCTGCAGAGTGCTTGGAGGCTTGCAAAAGGAGTCATTAAATCAGCAGGAGATGAGAGCCCTTGTAATAGTAATAATGGGCTTCCCAGGGCCAGGGCTGACACAGGGGTTTTGCTTGCCAGTCGGCAGCTGCCGGGCATCTGTTGAGGAGGAGGCCTGTCTGGCCGACTCCTGGTGCCCACAGATGAGGGGCACTGAACCCTCTGATAGCCGCTAAACACCAGTTGCCCTAACTCAGCTGGATGCCCCTTTATTGCCCTGATTTAGTTGGTGAGGCCTTTATCTCCCCCTCTTCCCCATCCCACTTCCTTCCAGCTGACTGGGTTGGAGCCCCAAAGTCTTCTGCTGGTGCCACTTCGGCTGGGGTCTGGTGAGGGGGCATGGCAGTGAAGGAAGGGCCCGAGTCTCCTCATTTCACCGCGTGTAGAACAGGAACTAAACCAGTGTGAGACTAGTGTGGGCCCCAAGTCAGCCATGTACAGGACAGGGGTGGCTCCCTCTACTTACCATTGCCTGCAGGTGGGGAAGCCCCCTCGGTGAGAGCACGGGGCAGGGATGAAAGCAATACTGACCCAGGGAAGCTCTGCAAGGCCCAATATCTCTCTCCATCCCCACCACCCCGAGTTGCTGGGACAGCCACGGAACCGGCTGGGCAGAGCTGGGAGTGCCATCTTCTGTGCTTTGTGACTGGTGTCCCTGCTAGATGCATTTTTCCAGGTGTCCTTGGGGGGCTGCGGTGACCCCGTCTGTCCTTTCCCTTTGCAGGCAGCATTTGCACACTTGGCCTTAGCTTTCCGCTGCGACATGTTCACGCTGCGCCGGCGGGTGCAGGTGGAGGAGCGGGCGCGCGACGTGGCGGAGGAGAACATCCAGCAGGAGCTGGAGCAGTGCCGGGCGGCTGTGCAGGTTGGTAGGACTGGCCAGAGGAGGTTCCCCAGGGCACAGCATGCTCTGTGGGGAGTCCAGAGCCCCGTTGATGGCTTGGCTTCCTGCTGGGGGGAGGGGGGG